ACTTACCATTCTTAGCCAGTTTAGGTAAATGACTAGAGACAGGCAGGCTCCAATTCCAGAGTCCAGGACAGGATTGGAAAGACTCGCAAGCTAGTATGTATGATGTCTCTGCAAATATCAGTTGCTCATGAAGGTGCAGGGTACATGTATGCAGTATTTGTTTGCATTTACCTGTAAGAACACACAGAAAAGCCAGGGACTGATGCTGGCATTGCCATTTCTATTTCTCTTGACCTTGAGTTTTGAGACAGGGTTTCCCTCTGAGCCTGGATTTTGAATTGCAGACAGGCAGCCTGGTCAGGGATGCCTGCGAAGATCTTCCCAACGCCCACTCCACTCCACTCCAGTGAGAGATGTGCTCACCACACAGCTTCTTGCCACGATGCTGAGGACCCACACTAGGGCTTCATGCTTGCTCAGCAAGCACCTTAGTCACTAAGCCATCTTTCCAGCTCCAGAACCTAGTGGCTCTTATCTTGGTGTCTTTGTCCTGAAAGGGGAAGGGCTATCAGCTTCAGATGAACACTTCTTAAATAATTGACGTACCTATGTGCACACCAATCAAGAAATGGCCCAAAAGTTTAAGGTAGTAATGGTGCCAGAAATAAAATGAAGGCAGACATGCCTTGCTCTACCTCACTTTCAGTTAATCCCTGAGTGTCTGTCAAGGCAGTTGCTCAGTTTCTGTCAGAGTTTTGGGAACCATTTGACTTCTGGGGACTTCCAGAAGGGAGCTACAAGGCCTCATGCCTATGACTTCCCCGTTTTCTAGCTCACTGTCTCCAGGATGTTAGTCCTGGGAACTTGGGAAGCCCTCCTCCTAAGAGACCCTTTAGGAAACCACTTGTACCCTCTGGGCTGAGGCCATACAAATGGTAGGAGCAGAGTCTGTCTTTCTAATCCTCTATCCACTAGCTGTCTTGTTAGTCATGATCCCGGGTACCAGCTTGCTTGTCATTTCCTCAATAGACTTCACTATTTTTTCTTTTTAAAGAAAGGCACAGCTTTCAATGTCCCTTTAAAGAGCATAGGAAGGGGCTTTTCTCTGGAAGAGAGACTGGGAATGTCTTCAAGCATTGGTCAGGTATAGCTCCTTAGCAGTATGCCTAATATACGTAAGACTCTGGGTTCAAACTCCAACCCCCACCACACACACACACAAAGTACAATTTTCATGTAGATGTAGACAAAAGTAAAGATAAACACATGGCCACTTTAAAGGCATGCTTTTCTAACTTTTCCCACACACTCATGTTTATGGGCATATGTCATTTGCTAAAAAATTAATAAAGTGAAATACACTTTTGAAAGCATTCTTTTTACCCACATGTGGCAGTACACGGGCACATACATGCCTCTAACCTCAGCACTGTGGAGGTGGACACAGGGTGATGGGAAATAGTTGACTACCCTGGGTTCCCTAGGGAGAGCCTGGCACAGCAAAGCAAGACAGGAGGGAGGGAAGAGGAAGAGAGGGGACAGCTTCTAGTTTAGCTGCCTTTTAGTGGAATCTCTGGCCATTGTTTGAAAACACTATTTTTTTACGTAATTTCTCACTCACTCAAGGGAAATAAAAAAAAATTAAACGGGGTGGTGGTAGCACACACCTTTAATCCCAGCACTTGGCGGCCAGGGGCAGCAGAATCCCTGCGAGTTTGAAGCCAGCTTGATCTACTGAGCAAGTTCCAGGACATCCAGGTCTACACAGAGAAACCCTGTCTTGAAAAAAAAAATTTTAAGAGATTGAATTGAACACACTCTTCTAAAATACCAACTACGCATAAGTGAAAATTTTTCTGAACTTAAAAAAAAAATAACCAACACTTCATGGTACTGAAGAGATAGTTCAATAGTTAAGAGCACTGGCTGCTCTTTCAGAGGACCCAAGGTAAATTCCAAGCACCCCCATGGCAGCTCACAACCAGTGTCCTCTTTCTGGCCTCTATGAGCACCAGGGACACGCTTGATACATGTACAGGGCATGTTTACAAGCAAAAGACCTGTGTGTGTGTGTGTGTGTGTGTGTGTGTGTGTGTGTGTGTGTGTAGAATAATTTGAGTAATTTTTAAAAATAAAAATGAAGGTATAAGGTATATAGCATCTCTTTATCTGGGGTTCAAGTGTCTTACTTTAAGTGTAATGTCCTGCAGACCTGTGGCATTTGCTCCTGAGAATGAAAGAATGACAGTTCTTTACCTTTTTTCCCCAGTACCATGGTAGTTACTCATCAATACTGAAGGCTTCACCAGGCTGGTTGGCCAACTTCACTACCTTACAGAAAGTATCAGTACAGTTCAGCGATTCTCAACCTGTGGGTTATGACCTTTGGGGTTGAACAACTTTTCAATAGGGGTCTCCTAAGACAATCAAAAAGCATGGGTATTTACATTACAATTCATAAAAGTAGCAAAATTACAGTTATGAAGTAGCAATGAAAATAATTTTATGGTTTGGGGGTCAGCACAGCATGAGGAACTGTATTAAAGGATGTCAGCATTAGGAAGAACCATTGATGTGGTTCCTCTGTGAGGCTGAGAGCACTGATGTGATTCCTCTGTGAGGCTGAGATCCACCCATGTGGCTCCCTTGTAATTCCCCATTTCCAGGTTATATTCCTCAGGTTAGTCCCATGTTTTAAAAAAACATCTATTGTTTGAATGTTTTATTTATTCATTTTTTATGGAAATTCCTCAATGTGATGAGCTACAGAAGTTAGGAATTTGGAAAATAATAGTTCTGTACCATTTTTTCAAAACCCAGATCTGTATTTAACATAAAATATAATTTAGAAATATGTGCTAGGCATGCTGGTACATGACTCCAGTCCTGGCACTCAGGAAACTGAGTGGAATTTTGAGTTCAATACCAACCCAGGCTTTGTAGGAAGACCTTGTCTCCAAAAGCAAGAGAACAAAATAAACATTTGTGTGTGTGTGTGTGTGTGTGTGTGTGCGCGCGCGCGCGCGCGCGCATGTGTGTGTGTATTAAGGTATTGGATGCTAATTGATACCTTTAGGAATAGACAAAATATCCTTGAGGAGAATTAAATAACTTGGAGAAATGCTCACTTTCTGCTTATTTAAGCGCTAGAGAAGTGATTTATACTGACCTAATAGGCTCCGGTTTCTAGCCAACAGGTTGGTTGGCTAGTGGCTTGCTGACTGGCTGGGGGGCTGGAGGGCTGCCTAGCTGTGTTGTGATGTAGTTTTCCCAGCTCTGAAACTGCAGGGCTTTCAGAGGAGTCTACCTTTCTCATGTGGCTGGAGGAAGGTGAAGGAAAGAAGACTTCAGCGGGTGCCTCAGACATTGTGGGTTTCAGTGCTGCTGTGGTTTGAATTAGATGTGTTCTCAGGTATTTGAATAATTGGTGGTGGTGCTGTTAGGAGAGGCTTAGGGGATGAGGCCTTATTGGAAGAAATATGTCAGTGGACGCAGACTCTGAGAGGTGAAAGTCTTACAGCATTCCGTGTGTGACCTCTCTGCTTCCCGTGCAGCCACCATGCCTGCCAGCGGCCAGGGATGCTCTCCATGATGGCGACCGTCTCTTGTCCCTCTGGAACCACAGCCCAAACAAACATTTCCTTCTAGTCAGGGTGTTTCATCACAGCAATAGAGAAGTGGCTAAGACAGTCAGTATTCTTAGGAGAAATACTAACCCAACCATAGAGAGCTTGCTTAACATGCCTGAGGCCTTAGGTTCAATCCCCAGCACAAGAAAAATAAAGCCAATTGAAATTTTAAAAGGTTATGACAGATAAAAGAAAACTGAGCATTGTTATTATTACTACTCCTGTTATCACTGTCGTCTGAACAAAAACCAATCTCCTACTGCTGTGAACCCTTCATATACTTTTCACTGCTGCAGATGCATCTATTGCAAACCAGAAGCATGCCTGCTAAGCAGGAGGCGAAAACACGTGGGAAGCTTGTAAGCACACACAGAAATCCCATTTTCCCTCAACAGATGAAGATTCGTTCCCGCGCCCGTCTCCTCATTGCCTTGCCATTGCAGGACTCATTAGGGCAGCAATTTTCCCTATGCAAAATTGGGGCATGGCGCATTCTTTCTCGACATGGGTGATAGCAGTTCCACAGTTATGTGGTCTGTAATCATCTGCTAACCTAAAGACTAAACTCTGTGGTGTGTGTGTGTGTGTGTGTGTGTGTGTGTGTGTGTTAAATGTGTCCGTACAAGTGTATGCACATTTGTGTGTGTGTGAACACTTACATAACGGCTCAAATGCATGTGGAGGCCAGTGGCAGATGTATCTTTCTCTGTTGATCTCTATCTTTTGAGACAAAGACCCTTCACTGGACCCGATGCTCACTGATTGGCTAGGCTGCCAGAGCGCTCCAGGGACGCACCTGTCTCCACTGTCCAGCTCTGGGGTTACACACTTGGGGTGCCACAGTAGCTCTTCCTGGGGTTCTGGGACTCTGAACTCAGAACCTCGTGCTTACATGGCAAGATTGTTACCTACTGAGCCATTTCCTGGCTCTCTGCGTAGCGCACTCACATGCACACGTAGGGGAGAAGGTGAGTCTCTGCAGGTTAGTCACTGCAGACCGAGTGTTGATATGAACAAATTAAAAAACATAGCAAATAAAAGTGTCGGTGGTGGGAAAGAGATCACACACTGGCCAGCTACACCAAGAAGTTAGGAGAGACTTCAGGTTTGCTAGCTGCCAGTCTGTTCAGATACACACAGAAGCTGGGACGTTTCTATCTCATATGCTAACTCTGTGTTGTGTGAGTGTGAGCCCAACACTAGGAACAAGGGATTCTCTCCAACACAGTTATTTCCATGAACCTTGAATCCTAGATCCACTCTCTGCAGATGTGGGCCTATGTCTTGTACCCATTGTTCTTAACATTTATGACGTGTGTGTGTGTATGATTTTAGAGAGAGCCGCTGTGGTGTATGAAACGCCGTAGGAAAGTAAGAGAGGGATCGTGCGTCTTTGTTGTTAACGAGCGGCTTTGGGTTTTTTTTTTTCAGCGCCGACTGGGAGACGCAGCAAAGAAGGCCATCAGCAAGCTCCAGGTCAGGACCATCAGGAAGGGCGACAAGGTGAGAACCACTTTTCCTTCGGGCAAGGACCTAGTCAATGGAACTCTTGTCTTTCCTGACAGCCCAAGCAGAAGAGAGAAAATAAAAAAGGAGAAAGATGTAAACGTGTGTGTCTACACATTTCTTGGACTTAGAATGCTTTTATTAAACATATTAAGTGTTTTTAAAATGCATGCAATTTATTTTTAATATTTAAGTGTTTTAATAATTAAGTGTTTTTTAATAATTAAGTGTTTAAGAATTAAACATTTGTAAAATACATGCAATATTAAACATATTAAGTGTTTGTAAAATACATGCAATTTATTAGCAACCAAGCATGAGCAAATCTGAAGTTCAACAAGCAACAATAGCCAAGCTGTTCATTCAGCACCAGTGTCCATCAACAACTGAATGGCAACAGTAAACGTGATGTGTGCACACAGTACAGAATTATTGAGGCATTAAGAAGAATGAAATTATGTCATCTGAAGGGTAATAAATGAAACTGGATATTATCACGTTAAACAAAATAAGCCAGGTGCAGAAAGATGATATACCACATTTTCTTTCATGTACAGAGTCTAGAATTCCCAACAGGACTTAGGAAGCAGAAGGCTTCCCTACTTTAGAGAAAGAGGAAGAGAGATAGAAAGAGTGGGAGGATAGGAGAGGTTAGTGGGAGGTGGAGGAGTGTGACACACACGTGTGAAAGTGTCACCGTGAGACCATGGAGGAGTGTGACACACACGTGTGAAAGTGTCACCGTGCGACAAGGAGGAGTGTGACACACACGTGTGAAAGTGTCACCGTGAAACGGTGGAGCAGTGTGGCACACACATGTGAAAGTGTCACCGTGAGACGGTGGAGCAGTGTGACACACACGTGTGAAAGTGTCACCGTGAGACAGTGGAGCAGTGTGACACACACGTGTGAAAGTGTCACCGTGAGACAGTGGAGGAGTGTGACACACACGTGTGAAAGTGTCACCATGAGACCGTGGAACAGTGTGACACACACGTGTGAAAGTGTCACAGTGAGATGGTGGAGGAGTGTGACACACACGTGTGAAAGTGTCACAGTGGGACGTGGAGGAGTGTGACACACATGTGTGAAAGTGTCACCGTGAGACGGTGGAGGAGTGTGACACACACATGTGAAAGGGTCACCGTGAGACGGTGGAGAAGTGTGACACACATGTGAAAGTGTCACCGTGAGATGGTGGAGGAGTGTGACACACACGTGTGAAAGGGTCACCGTGAGACAGTGGAGGAGTGTGACACACACGTGTGAAAGTGTCACAGTGAGACAGTGGAGGAGTGTGACACACACATGTGAAAGTGTCACAGTGAGACAGTGAAGGAGTGTGACACACACATGTGAAAGTGTCACAGTGAGACAGTGGAGGAGTGTGACACACATGCATGAAAGTGTCACAGTGAAACCAGCATTACATACAAGAACCATGTGCTATAAAAGGTGTGCAAGAAGCTCACACCTTTAATCCCAGCAGTCAGGAAGCAGAGGCCAGTGCTGTGGTCTTCTGTACAGAGTGAACTCCAGACTAGCAGGGCTACATAGACCCTGTCTCAGAAAAACATAAACCACAGGGAAACGTTCCACGTCTGGGGAAGACAGGTCCACAAAAGTGTTCCTTGAAGCATGTGGCAAAAACTGGTCTTAAATTTAGGTCTAGCAGCCAATACAAGAAGAAAAGCAGCAAACCAAAGGTCATTACTTCCATCAGTATCTACTTACTTTATCAAAGTGATGTACAAAACAAAAGCAGATAGTTACTCTTGTATGACCCCAGGGAAGTTTTCCCAAAAGTCCTTGGAAAGAGACTGAGTTTATACACTGAGTGTGCTGTCCATATAAGCTTAGAGTATAAATGTACAAATGATACTTAGCTCTTCTGAACTCTAGGGCTCAGAACCCACCAGCATCCCTCACTGCAGAAGGGTGACCAGACTCCAAAGGCCCTGATACACCACCAGGAAATATGAAAAGGCAGCGCCTCCCCAACACACAGACTCTAAGGGCACCTGACAGCCTATTGTTTAGAGCAGTGGGTTAGCATCAGCATGCAGGTGAGCATCCCCTGGAGACTTAGCAATGGTGCGCAGCAGGTGCCGTCTCTGCTCTGAATAACTGATTGTTTTCACAAGTTATTTGTTATCAGCTTAAACAATACAAGCATGGTTTTGAGACTAACAAGAGTAAATTCATTTAGAAGGATAACCAGGGCATTGGGAAGATGGCTGAGTTGGTAAGATGTGTATGCTAACTGAGTTTGGTCCCCAACAATCACAGAAAAGTCAAATGTGGTCACACTCGCTTGTGGAGATAGAGGCTGGAGGATTCCTGGGGCTCCCTGACCTAGTCAAGTCTAGCCAAGCAGGGGATCTCTATAGTCAGCAGCATCATCATCATCATCGTCATCATCATCATAATAATATCGATAATAATGATGATGGCGCTGATGAGAGCAGCGCTGACACACACGCAGGCGCCCTCACATGAGCACGCACACAAACCAGATTTAGAAGTGGCATTTCTTTTCACCGGTATCTTCCCCCACTCAACTAGAGAAGAAAAAGTGCCAACATTGTGCTGTAAGTAGACCAAGAGATGCCTCTTTTAGGTTTGCATGCAGAAAAAAGAAATTGAAACTACATTGGTGTTTCCACTCATCCCACACTTCAGATTCCAGAGCGCTGAGTGCGTTCTAAATCTTTTGGATGAACACCATTCCTCACCCTTGGGGCTTCAGTGTCACCTATGACTGTCATTTGCAGCATTTTAGGAACAGCATGTGGGGGTGGCATTTCCCTCACCAAAGCTCTCAGAATGGAAACAACCCATGAAGGCTGGGAGGGGTTGGAAACTAAGCCAGCTGGTGAATTAGTGATTAAGAAGCTCGGTAATGTTGCTGGGAGGCTGGCTGTGAGCGAGCTCGCCTTTGGTTTATGGCAGTGTTTGCTCAGGATGGAAGCTGAAGTCGGCCTTTCTGTTTCTTCTGTTGCAGGAAACGGAGTCTGATTTTGATAACTGTGCAGTGTGCATCGAAGGGTACAAGCCCAACGATGTGGTCAGGATCCTGCCCTGCCGGTGAGTGGTGCGGCTGCCTGCTCTGGCGCAGAGGGGCAGAACGTCTGGGCCAGCATTGCAAACAAGCAAACAATCCGATTTTTGCAGTATTGGTACTGGAAAACGTGCACCCACATGAAACAGGACGTCTTTCTTACCACCCCCTCCTTGCATGAAAGGCAGGCCTGACAAGACAGAATGAACGCAGGCCGTGTGTGTGAGTGAGGCGGTGCCTCAGATAGCTCGTAATGATCGGCATCACACAGCATCGCTTCTGGCTACTTTAACCAAAATAGCAAACTCTAAAAAAGATTCTATGGACGATCAGAACACATTGAGCAATCTGAACATGGCCAACAGGGAGCAGGGAGGCAGGGGCGGTTCCATTTCCCTTGCCTTTTACCAATGAGAAGGGAATGGGTCAAATTCCCAAAGAATTCTAGAATCTTAAGGAACATTCTACCATGCTGACTTGGGGAAACTTCCTCAAAGGATAGTTGAGGAAAAATCACTTTAATTTTTCTCCCTAAGTAAAAGTCACTGTTACGTATCTGACATTTTCTTTGAACATCCTAAATAAATCAAGTAAGCTAGGGTTGCGTAAGAGCCTTAGCCTTCATAGAGAATCCCTTTTTAGTTGCACCTATGCAAGGGTCCTAAAAATAAATTGCAATTGCCTCGATGAAAGGTGCTTCATGTAGGGAAAATGGCTTGAAATAATCTTGAGTTTAAAAGCATATTAATCAGAAAAGAGAATAACACAAAGGCAGCCACGATCTATTGCTTTCCCCAGACAATACAAATTTAAAACTATTTGTTAGAACTAGAAATGGAATAAGATAGTATTCGGGGGAATGGTATAATAATCTCAAGATGACGAAGAAGTGATCGGAAAACAAATAAAAAAGTCTGCCTGCTAGCCAGAACTCAGCAACTCGAGGGGTCTTCCTTGAGATGCTCACAGTTGGCCGTTAGCAGTCTGGGAGTAGGTGTGGTTCAATTGTCTCACTTAATACATGTCCGACTGGCCCTAAAGTGGAGCCACAGATGGGGACATGCCAACACTCAGCAGTTTGCTGTGTGTGAGCACATTCATTCCGAATGCGTTTTTAATGCATTTGTTTATTTATTTGGGGATGGCACACAAGCCACAGCGTGAGTGTGGGAGCGAGGGGATAGTTGGCAGGAGTCGGCTCTCTCCTTCTATCATGTGGGTCCTGGGAATGGAATTCAGGTCGTCAGGCTGGAAGGCACGCACCTTCCGCACTGAGCCGTCTCCCTGACCTGTAATTACACTCTTTCTAGACATCATACAGTGTGTATGCAGTGACTTCCAGAAGCCATTCTGGAAACAGGAGCGTGCAGACAACAGGGACAGGGATGCCCTCTGCCCACATCTTCTCTAAAGGGTTTAAACCTTCAGCGTTAGAAGCAGCCGGGTGTTTCGCTTTCTCTTCTTTTTTTAAAAATTTTTATTTATTTATATTTTATGTATGAGTGCTATGCAGGTACACCTGCAGGCCAGAAGAGGATGTCAGATCCTATTACAGATGGTTGTGAGCCACCATGTGGATGCTGGGAATTGAACTTAGGACCTCTGGGAAGAACAGCTAGTGCTCTATAACCGCTGAGCCATCTCTCCAGTCCTCACTTTCTCCTCTTCTCACGGCTCCTACTAATGCATACACATGGCCAATTAAACATCTGCGTTTTTCTGACACTCCATTGTAATGACCAAGATCTGTTTTCAAAAGTTGTACGTACCACCTCGTTAGCTCCTCAGCTCATTCTGTATAAGACAATTTACTCACTGAAACTTTATCATAACTAAATTTTGTGGATCTACATGAAACTGCTGGAGACTTGAAATCGCATAATCATGGTGTGATTTCCCATAGGCTGCTTTAGTGTCTACTTATGACAAGTTACATTTTTTAACAACATTCAATTTTTTCCTATTAATACAGATCTCCTTTATAATATGGTTATTTTGAAATATTAATCAGGAAAATGAGTATTTTATTTCATAACATAAAAAAAAACTTTTAGAAGCTCAGTTTTATTGTTATTGACCTCTCCCTATGTTTCTCAGTTTGGCTTCAGGCTCCTTCTTTTCTATAGCACACGCATTGATTTTCCCAATATATGTGCTAATTCTTTGAGAATTTCATATGTGCATGCAATATGCTTTGATTGCAGTTGCCTTCCACCACTCTCCCTGACTCCTCTGGATGTCTCCCTCCTTCCCAACTTCAAGTCCTCTTTCTTTTTTTCCTCAAAACTCACCAAGTCCAGCTTATACTGTCCATATATTCGTGAATGTGGGACCATCCACTGGAACACTGTTGACCTACTAAGGACCAAACCCTTAAAGAAAACTGACTCTTTTATCTCCAGAAGTCGCCAGCTGTTCACAGCCCCTCTTTTAGAGGTGGTGCTCCTGAGCCCCTCCCATCCATGTGGACTGTTGACTGGCTTGCTCTTGTGTGGTCTCGTACAGGCAATGACAGCTGGCACTCATGAGTACAGTGGACCTGACATGTCTACCAGTCAAATCCACTCCTTTCTTCTCTGACCACTGCCTCTTACAGCCTTTCCCCCTCGCCTACCGTGATAGTCCCTGAGCCTTGGGAGGAGGGGTCACGCTCTATTCCTTTACTCTTCAAGATCCTTACTCTCTATTGCTATTTTCTTACTGTGGACCCTGCTTTAAATGACAGGGCACACCAAGCATTTTCCAGCATGAGTTACTGCTAACAACTGTTTGATCTTGCATAATCACACATATGTACTCTCTGACTAACTCATATGCCTTTTTCCGTGCTGGTTTCAAGATCAAGGTACATTTACGGCTGTTTATGGCTTCTTGCAGGCAGTGCGCACTAATGGATGCTATCAACCAGACATGGTAGCAATCTGCTTCTTTGCTCGGTCATTCCCTCTGAGGTATTATAAAACCTTCACTTCTGAGAGCTCTGTAGACTATTTCTTAGTATTTCCAGGCTGATTCATTCTTGGAATTGATTGTATCTCCTTGGGGTAAAAGCTATTTCAGAAATTATCCCCATGAATGTATGTATGTGTGTATATATATATATATATATATATATATATATATATACATATATATATATATATCCTCTTTAATATATTCTGTGGCCTCGTAATCCCTGAATAGAGTATACATCTCCACTGTTGGGTACCTTTCCACCACCATCATCATCATCATGGTATGTACTTATACCATGATGGTTTCAAAATTGTTTTATTGTTTTCTCTCTCTGAGAACTCTACGTAAATTGCAATGAATGAGTAAAGCCTTCCCTTCTCATCTGTCATCATGGTAATTACTACAGTGAAGTCATGTACATGTACTCCAGCCCTTCCTTTCTCCTCTCTCTTTCTTCATCCACTTCTTCCCTAACACATGAACACAGGCTTCATTGATGTGAGCCTGGACCTGTGCCCACAGCATGAGGGACAGACAGGCAGTGGCATGTACAGCCAGTTGGTGACAGGATGTTCTAACTTTTGAGACTTGGATTTGATTCCAATTTACCACTCAGGCATTTTCCAGGAAACGCGGGTTTGTTCTGTGATACACATCAAGACGTGCCTGTTGCTGTGTTTTGGTGCAGGCTTGTAACTTGGACTAGAGCTTGTGGTTATGATTCCTCGCCACAGAATCTATCTTCCTGAAGCGGGATATTGATCTTTAATGTCTTCTGTCCAGAGAATAGGTAACGCCCTCTGCTTCTTTTAACCTAGAGCTTCCCGAATTGTTTTTCAATGGTTGTTCCTTCCATCCCTACCTAACTGTTCAAGTTCAAACACACAAAATCTCAAAAAGAATGTGGATTCCTTACCTGAGTCAGAAGCCCACATCTGCCACATGTAAAATGCAAAAAAAAAAAAAATACGTTTTTATGGCCTGTGTCCCTGTAAAATTCTTTCCTAACTATAATTTATTGCCATTTGGTGAGGGGATTGTTGTGTTTTCCCTTAGTCCAGCAGGCTCCTCCGTAGATGGGGACAACTTCAAGAGCACCCTGGTAATGAGCAGGTCTTGGGATGAGCTTTGCAGTGAACGAACAACTCTTTGGGAGCAGCAAATATCTTATAGTAGGGACAGTAGGAGGGACCACACATGGGAGGGCAAATGGTGTGACCTCGTGGGAAGCAGGAGCTTCAGTGGATAATCAGGATGCAGCATGACATGGGCACTCACAATGACAAATGTCTGCTAATATCGGGCACAATGACTGGGAAAGGCTTTTCAATCAATTAATAAATAAATAAATAAATAGAAATAAGAGAAAAAGAAAAAGGAAAATGGTTTATTTTTCCTTTTTAAGCATTTATTTTGCTATATTTTATGTACATGAGAGTCTTGCCTGTATGTGTCTGTATATCACATTCATAAAGTGCCCACAGGAGGCAGAAGAGGGTGTCAGACCCCTGGAATTGGAGTTATTGACAGTTGTTAGCTCCCATGTGGTGCTGAGACCCAAACCTGATCCATTTCTCCAACCCCGATATCTCTTCATACTTTTTAAATTTTTTTTACTTATTTTACATACCAACTATAGTTTCTCCTCCCTCCTTTCCTCCAGTTCCCTTCCCTCACCTCCTTTCTACCTCCCCATCCACTCCTCAGAAAGGGTAAAGCCTCCCATAGGGAGTCAACAAAGCCTGGCATATTGAGGCAGAACCAAGCTCCTCCCCACCGCATCAAGACTGAGCAAGACATCCTACCACAGGGAGTGGGTTCCAGACAATTCTTCGTACTTCTAAGTCATGTTTGGTTTATCCCATATACCCTCATTATAGAAATGTTTTACAGCATAAAATATTTAAATACCTACTTATCTCCCTCATGCAGATAACCACCACTGTCATTTTCATGTTTCTTCCCTTTGCTTCCTCAGCTTCATTTTTGCAAGTTTGAAATAGTATTGTCAACATTCGATATCCTATTCTTCTTCCTAACCATTGTAAGAACTTTCCAGAAAGAACACTGT